GCCGATCGCCTGCTTGATAAAGGTGTATCAGTTCGCAAGCGCGTGATTCGCTGCCTTCGAGAACTGCTAAACAGGACTGAATGGTCTGTCTCTTACAAACCATCCGAGGGTGCTAAGGACAAAGTTTCGCACTGCTATAATGGACTCAGTATTTCTCACGTCAATGATGCTTGCTTGCGTTTGATTCGTCGTATACATGACGAAGATTCTGTCAAAGTTAGTCTATTTTTTACCTTTATATTTTGTGTATCTATAGAAAATTTCCTTAGTCAGTGGTTTAAAATCACAATTTCAATAATCTTAGCCATAACAATTCTAATTCTTTTACTTCTGAATGCATTCACTAGTCTAGCTTATTCAGATCTATCAATGGGCAAAGTTTATTCATTTTTCATTTATAAGTAGGTTTTCGAGACTACCAGTAAATCAGTTATATAAAATTTAACTGATTTAGTGGCAGCCTCGAAAGCTTACTTATAAACGAAAAATAAATAATGTGATTGATTTTTATAGCAAACCTAACTTTGCTTCATCGAAAATGTATGACCTCTGAAATTCACACCTGTCCTGTGTCAAAAGGGCACTCGTGGCAAAGTGGCGTAGTGATTAACATGTCGAGATTACACTCCGCACTGTCATGGTTCTACGCCCCTGAGGGTGTTGATAAGACTGGCAACCTAGGCGGGGTCGAAAATGCAGTCCATTCTGGATGAGAACACCTCGTGCGAAAACCAGCTACGTGAAATCCAATGGAAACGTCAGCTCTACTCATGTAATTGTGGGAAAATTCAAATACCAGTCATTCATCACCTTAAATGAAATTAAATGAATGCATATATATTCATTTTGATAATTTCAGCGATAAAATACTAATAATTTGCCTAATTATGGCTTGAATTTCGCTCTTTTTTTCCTATATTTATATGTAACCTTTATATTTATTTGCTAATTTTGAGCTCACTAACTTGAATAGTATGAGTCAGACGGAGTTATTTGTTAAAATTAAAGTGAATCATGCATAGGAATAAAAAGATTTTTGATTCGTATCAACTGGCCCTTCAAAGCGGCTATACTCATTGCTATCTCTCCCTTTGTTCCTGAGATTATCCTCTCTTGGTGTTAATTTTTTTTAATTGGCTTCATATTCATTTTCTACATTTAATTTCCCACATTCTTCTTATTTTGCATTTGCTTTGGTATTTTGCATTTTTAGAAACTTGTACTTGAACTATTTCAAGATTTATGGTTTGCTCCGGTCACTGAACCTGCTGAGGGCTTGATCAAATTTAGAATCGCTTGTATTTGTGATGCTGTTCTGGCCCTCAGGTCAACAAACTTTCAGCTACTGGATGACTTCTTTAAAGCGGTAATTTGTGATCACTTATCGGACCAGTTTTCTTAAGTCGGAAAATATTTTTGGATTTATTAATTAGACGTTATTACTTACTACATACACATTCATTTACACTCAGAAACAGCTTATTTCTTTGTCTCATTTATTCACATTACTCATAACGTCTGAAGATACACTCCACAATGTATATCACATAAAAGGTGCTAAACAAACCTTCTTAAGACTATTAGGGTATTACTCTTTGTTTGTAGTGGATTTCGTGACTATCGAAGTAATTTTTTGCTAACTAGAAATTCCATGTCTTTTATTTAAGATCCTTGATAGTCTCGAAACCATTGACTATGCATAAAGTATAAAAGTAAAGTTGCTCTTAATGGCAAAATACAAGTTTTCGTTTTATAAATGTTTAGACATTACCAGTTCTTCATCACCTTAAACAAAATAGAATACTTAAATAAAATACAATTATCTTGATCCACAATCCCACTGTAAAAATGGGATACGAAATGGGCCTTGATAGTCACATCAACTTTGCGACTCACTGGAATTCGTGACAGTGGCGTATTTGTAACGTAAAAAAACACACTAACTGTCAGTATTTAACTCCCGTGGGGTGTGTGTGAAACCCAAGTGAGGTCTAAGCTTTTCCCTACTTTGAGTGGAAATATTTTGTAAGAGACCAGATAAAGTTAAATCTAATAGGATCTTAAGGCCTACTTAGTAGAACGCACCCAGTCCGAAGTCGTCTGCCATAGTAGTTGACATGATTCAGCAGAACGTTTGTCGAGGGATTGACTTCACTTGTCTCTTTGACGAGTTCGTAGCTTTGTCTGGAGAATGGCAAAACTCACTGATGATGCCGATTACGATGCAGGTGAAACGTTTGAGAATGTACCAAGTCCACTGTCTGATGCTGGGAATCATGACAACTACTATAGCTAACGACTTCGGACTAGGTGCGTTCTACTAAGTCCCCATGACAACAAGACCAAGTTGTGACAACGAGGTCAACCCACTGTTAAATTGTATAGTGTTAATCGGAGACACGAATATCAAGATGGTGTGGCCTTTTGTATGGCCTTAAAAAAAAATTAATTCCTTTTTCTCTCCATATCGCAATACTTTCATGTGATTTAGTTTTGACTATATTCAACATCGGCATCTTTTGCAACTGAACTATACTTGTTATGCTGATTCCCTTATAACTGTTCATCATCATTGTCCACTTTATGCGTTACGGATGAGATCTGTTATGTTCTATTTACTATTGATACTAAGTTTCTAAGTTGCTAATTTGCTAAGTTCCATTGATAAGTTTGCTAAGTTTCATTTTGCATCAGCCTACTACTTTTAATATTTGAGTAGATTTTCGAGACTACCAGTAAATTAGTAATATGAGATGTATTCACCATATTTCGTTTAAGGTGATGAAGGACTGGTAGTAGAATTTTCCCACAATGATATGAGTAGAGCTGACGTTTCAAATTTCGCATAGTCTTGCTTTCCAAAAGTTGTTCGCATTCAGGGTGGACTGCAGATTCGACCTCTCATAGGCTTTATCGGCACCGGAGTCGAACCATGACAGTTCAGCATGTAAGCTCGACACGTTAGCCACTGCGCCGCATTACCAAAAGTGCCCTTGGGCCACAGGGCAGATGTGAATTTAACGGAAGGCCAGGTCTTTTACCATATTATATTCTTTGGTGGGATTGTCGATGAAGCAAACGTATATTTGCTGTAACAATTGACTTACTTTTCGTATTTGAGTAGAGTTTCGAGACTACATCTCATATAACTGATTTACTGGTAGTCTCGAAACTACTCAACTACGAAAAATAATTTACGTAGTCGATTGTTATAGCAAATATAGATTTGCTTCATCGACAATCCCACAAAAGAATATGATATGGTAAAAGGCCTGGCCTTCCTTAAAATGCACATCTGCCCTGTGACCCAAGGTCACTCATGGCGATGTGGTCGAGTGGTTAGCGTGTCAAGCT